TAAAGGAATATTGACAACTGATTGCTGCTAGATGAGGAAGAGCTGACCTTCCTAAAACAAAGACCTCTAGATAGGCTGACTAGATTCACCAGATGGACATGTAGTGGGGAACGACTGGGGTACCGACAACACAGCGGACAGTAGCAGGGATAACAGAGTATAAGGACTCTAGTGGGGGCAGGGAAGCTATGGGAAGGTACCATCTAGGTAGTGGGTGTATAGTTGAATAAGATGGTTTGGGATGTTCTGTGTGATATATACATACACAAAAAGAAAATCAACAAATTTTTAAAAATGTATTGTATTTGAGGAGGAAGCATAACAAGTTACGTCATATTAATTAGTAGAGGTGATAAACATTACCATTGAAATCTACCCGATGACTTTATAGACATACACAGGTGCCAAGGATCTGAGTGCAACTGATCATGACTAGTAATAATCAGATACATACAGATTAGAGACACATGTGCCAACATCTCAGCGTTAGTAGCAAAAACAGTGAGTCTTTCTGTAACAAACAGTATATTCTTTTTTAAAGATTAAAAACTCATTCAATTTTATGTCTTACAGGGCTTATACTGAGTTCAATATTGTATGACTGTATTAATTCAACAGCGAACCTAAAAAAAATTTTTTTTTTTTTAGTCTTTTTGAGACAGGGTCTCCCTGTAGCCCCAGCTGTCCTGGAACTCACTAGACCAGGCTGGCCTTGAACTCAGAGAGATCCTCCTGCCTCTGCTGGAATTAAAGGCGTGCACCACCACACCCGGCTGAACCTAAAAATTTTACAGCCACTTTTGAAAGAGCTGTATCTTTGCTCTGGAAACTGTTATTGAGCATATTAAAGCAGTAATGATATGCTTCTTCTAAAAAAAATTTAAAATAATATTTTTTAAAAAATTTTCTAAATAGAAAATAAATAAGGTGGAGAGTGATAGAAGAAGATATCTGAAGTCAAACTCTGGCCTCCACGTGGACACATGGACGTGCATACACATACACAAAAAGAACAGTTCTCTGCTTTCTTCTTTAGTTTTCAGTAAGAGTACTTATGGAGCCAGGAGTGGTAAGACACGCTTATAATCTCAGCACTCAGAAGGCCTAGGAGGGAAGATCACGAAGTAGAGGTTAGCCTAGGCTATAAACCAAGTACAAAGCTAGCCTGGGGTGATATAGTAAAATCTTGTCTCAAAAGAACAGGGTTCCGGAAAAAAATAGTAACATGTATCACCACCAAACTACCAAAACAAATTGTTGAGAAATTCATGCAAGAAGCAGCTGTCTATTGCCTTTATGCCTATATTCCAACGGGGAACAGTTTCAGGCTGGCAAGATGGCTCAGCAGGTAAAGGCACCTGCCACCAAGCCTGAAGATCTGAGCTCAATCCCAGGACCCACATGATAGAAGAACTGACTCCCAAGAGTTGTCCTCTAACTTCTACACCCTCAAAATAAAAACTTTTTTAAAAGAGTTTCTCTTTCAGTGCTTACTTGGGTTAAAAACCTAAAAGTAGTAAGCTTAATATTTAAGACTGTAGCCAGGCATGGTGGCACATGCCCTTGATCCCTGCACTTAGGGGCCAGGCAGCTCTCTGAAATCAAGGCCAGCCTGGTCTCCATAGGGAATTCCAGGCCAGCTGTGTCTACAGGGAAACCCTGTCTCAAAAAGACCAAAAATAAAATTAAATTAAATTAAAAAAATAATAATGAAATAAAAAAAATAAAATAAAAATAAAGACTATGCCCAGACTTCACTAACAGTCTTAGAAACATGAAATGATAATGATAAATTTAACTATCTTTAGAGTTCAATTACGGGCTGGAAAGATGACTCAACGGTTAAGAGTACTGGCTGTTCTTGTAGAAAACCTGGGTTCCAATCCCAGCACCTACACAGCAGCTAACAAATGTTCATAACTCTAGTTCCAGGGGAATCTGACACCTTCTGTCCTCTGTGGGGATTGCACGACACAGGTGCAATTATACACATGCAGGCAATATACACATACACAGAAAATAAAACTAAAAAAATTTTTTTAAAAGAGTTCAATGCCAGGTGTGGTGGCACAAGCCTTGAGTTCAAGCCAGGTGTGGTGGTGCACACCTTTAATCCCAGCACTCGGGAGGCAGAGGGAGGCAGATGTCTGTGAGTTCAAGGCCAGCCTGGTCTACATAGTGAGCTCCAGGACAGCTGGGGCTACAGAGAGATCCTGTCTCAAAAATGCTAGCACACTTGCACAAGGTCCCCCCTCCCCGCAGCTGTGGCTATAGGGAGACCCTGTCTCACAAAAGACCAAAAAAATTTTTTAAAAAAAGATACTTTTCCAGACGTATGTATATTCTTTAAAAAAAAGTCACCTATAGGTAAGTAAGATGAGGCTCTAGGGACTGGGGTACAGTTCAGTGACTCAGAGCTATACACAAGGTCTTACCAATTCCTAGTATTGCCCCCGCCAAAAAAAGTGAGGCTCCAAGCAGTCCAATATCTTGCTAAGTCATTAATTACAGGCAGGAACAGAGCCCTGAATCTCAGCTTTATCCATTACAATCATTCTTCTACCTAAACCAACCATCTTGTCAAATTACTAACCAAGTCATTTATGCAAAATTGATAAAAAGCTCTAGCTCCATTGATTTATATAGTTTGGTATCACTATAGTTTGGTATCAGATATAGCTCCAGTTTCAACCAACTCTTTACAGAAACTGGCTTGTCTTAATTTCAGTAACATTAAATTTAATGTCTTACCAGTTGTCACATAACTGTGTTTCCTGGTCATCCAGAAATTCAGCCATCTTTAGCTCTTCCTGAAAATGAAAAAGGAAGACGTATGAACTTTCTATTTCATTTCTGCTTTAAGGATGACATGCAAAATAAAAAAATAAATAAACCCTTGGGGGTTTTTTTGGTCTTTTTGAGATAGGTTCTCCCTGTAGTCCCAGCTGGCCTGGAACTCACTATGTAGACCAGGGTGGCCTTGAACTCACAGAGATCTGCCTGCCTCTACCTCCTGAGTGCTGGGACTAAAGGTGTGTGCCACCACAACCAGCCTTCTTTTTTTTTTTTAAGACAGGATCTTTCTGTAGCCCCAGCTGGCCTGGAACTCATGTAGACCAAGCTGGCCTTGAACTCACAGAGATCTGCCTGCGACTGCCTCCTGAGTGCTGGGATTAAAGGCATGTGCCACCACGCCCGGCTTAATACTAATTTTTTAAAAACTAGAAACTATCCCAGACCTTATTCCATTTCAGTGACTATACCACAAGTCCCCCTTTCTGGTTCAGTATACAATCCTGGGTCACATAAAGCACTTAGGTGTTACTTCACTTTGATCTGGAATACTTCTAGTTTTCATCTCTCATGGCCTTATTCAACTAATTACTAGCTTAACCAGAGGCTGCTAGTTACTAGCAATTACTAATAGTTTCCAGTTACTGGACAGTTATTTTGTAGAAACTTCCATTTGAGTTTGTCTGATGTTTTCTTAGGAGTCGATTCAGGTTATACACACCTGGCAAAGGTACCATCAAATTGATATGCTCATGTTAGGGATCTGGTTCAGCTGGTATGGTGCTTGCTCAGGATGCAGGAAGTCCTGGGTTCGATCACTAGCCATAAAACTGGGTGTGCTGTCATATAGCTGCAATCCTACCTCTAGGGAAGTGGAAGAAGGAGATCAGAAGCTCAAAGTTGCCAGGAGAAATGGCTCCAGGGTTAAGAGGGCATACTTCTCTTTTAGAGGACCTGAGCTCAGTGCCTAGCACCCTCATCAGGTGGCTTACAATCACCTATAACTTCAGCTGTAGGGTGATCTGACTTCTCTTACCTCCATGGTCATTATGGACACTGCAAACACACATAAGTGAAAGAAACAGCCAGGCATGGTGGCACACACCTTCAATTCCAGCACTGGGTAAGCTTCGGCAGGTGGATCTCTGTGAGATTAAGGACAGCTTGGTCTACATAAAGAATTCCAGGCCAGCTGGAGCTACATAGGGAGATCCTGTCTCAAAAACAAAAACAAACAAAATAAGGGCTGGAGAGATGGTTCAGCAGTTAAGAGCACTGGCTGATCTTCCAGAGGACCCTGGTTCAGTTCCCAGTACCTACATGGTAGCTCACAACCACCTGCATGTATGTGCTACACATATATACACTCAGGTATACATATGCACATAAACGCATTTTGCCAGGTATGGTGGCGCACACCTTTAAATCCAGCACTTGGGAGGCAGAGGCAGGGGGATCTTTGTGAGTTCGAGGCCAGCCTGGTCTACATAGTGAGTTCCAGGACAACTGGGGCTTCAGGGAGACCCTGTCTCAAAAAGACCAAAAAAAAAAAAAAATGCATTTTGAAAAGTCAAAATAAGTATTTTTTTTAAAGTTGTTCAAGTTCAAAGCCAATCTGGAACACATGAGATCCCCAACCCCAAAAAAGAAATAAGAACTCATCTCAGTGCATTCTATCAAAAGGAACATGGTTATTAATAGTCTTAATATTACTAGTGATGTTAATGCTGACCACTTAGTTGAGATGGGGCCTGCCAGGTTTCTTCACTGTAAAGTTTGAACCCGTTTGTGCATGCTAGACAAGTCCTCTACCACTGAGCTGTTGCCTCGAGTTCTTTTTCTTCCTTTTTAAATAGGAAATCAGTATAGAAATCAAAGGCTGGCAAATGTACTACCAATGTTTACTTTAGATTATTCCTTTCCACGACACAGAAATAGACTTGAGTAGTGACTCCTAATAAGGCTCCACAGTGATTCGGGCATTATCAAACGAACTGCTATTCTTAATGCCCTGACACTAAGATTATTTTACAAAAAATAAAATTATAGCGTACAATGTAGCAGAACTATCTAGTGGCCAAAACAAAACAAAACAAAAAAACAAATAAAATAAAATAATGTAAGGAAAAGCACACAGACAAAAAGAATGATGGGGTGGACAACCCGAGGATTAGGGAAGAACTTCCAGGGAAGTGGCATTTAAACTAAGACCTGAAGCACAAAGGGCCGGCCATGGAAAAGACAAACAAGGATCTTTGTGGGGAAAACCCATCTAGTCACTAGGAAGAGCAAAAGCCCAGAGCAAATGAAAGAGAAAGTAAAATTAGACCAGGAAGAGCGTGATGAAAACAGGAAAATGGCTTGAGAACCCAGAAAGGACTGCATTCCCCCAATCAATGGCCAATACTGGAGGGTTTGGAGGCAGACCCAGACGCCCGCGGCTGGAAGGATCAGCCGCACCGATGCGCATCACGATGCCTGCGGGAGCAGCAGGCTCTGGCCGCCCGGACCACTCGGGTGCCTGCGCCTTGAGCTCGGCCAGCGGCAGTGGGGCCAGGTGCGGCGGAGGGCAGCTCCGGCAGTGCCACCTGTCGCCTGACCTCTCGGGAGACACGGGCTGGGGAAGGGGCGGGGGCGCCGGCTGGCGGATGCCCGCGGCACAGGTGGGAGTCGCGGTGCGCTGGGTGGCTGCAGGGCCTCCGAGGGGCCGCTGGAGCTGAGCCCAGGGCCTCTGCCGCTTCCTGCGAGCTTCGGGGGACACGGTGCTGCCTCCAAACCCGGCTCCGCCCCGCCGCCCGGAGCGTCGCGGGGGCGCCCGGGATCCCGCTGCCCGCACCCCGTTCCGACCCGCCGCCCCGGTTCACCTCAGACCGGAGCGGGAATGCAGTACCGCCGCAGCCACAGCTGCCTCCGACGCCCAACACCAACAGCGGCCCCGCCGCAGCCCCGCCACCACCCTCCGCCACCACCCTCCGCCGTGGAGGAGCGCGCTCATTGGCCAGCCGCAGGCCTAGCTGGATCTCCATTGGACAGGACTGCTGCCGCTCCCGGAGGCCCGCCTCTCAGTCCCCATTGGCTCCTCGGAGTCCAGGGCGTGTCCCTGGAAGTCCCAGCCCCCTCACATCTGGAAGGCAAGGCCCTGCAGAGCTAGGAGCCTGAAGCTGTAACGTGCAGCCGCTATGGGTACAGGTGAATATTATTTGTGTGAATAATACTGTGAAAACATTACTAATATGCCTAATTAAGATATTGGGTGGTGTTTGTGCCCTTGTCATGGGCCGTTAATACTTATTAGTCATCCTTGTCATTCATAATGCCCTTGTGCCAGACTTCTGCAAATCTGTGACCATATTTGAACACTGTGCTTTAGCAGAGAAAAGAATGAGCGCCTGAGACGCAGGTTTAAGTGCCAGTTTCTCTTGAGGCCTAAATGGATTCTCTGAGCCCCTCCTACTTCATTGATATAAAGGGGGAAAGTATAAAAGAGCATGTACTGCCAAAACACACCCCAAAATTATGGCTTTATTGTGGATTGTAATTGCAAAGTGTTCATGAAATAGTTCTAAGTAGGAAACGCTCATTCTGGAGGCATTGTTTATAATAGGATAGAAGACTTAGTTTAAGTAGGGTGTGACTCTTCACATCTATAATTCTGTTGCTTGGGAGGCTTAAGAAAGGTGAATTGTTGAGAATTTGAGACCAGGCTGAGCTACATAGTGAGTTCAAGGCCAGTCTTAGGTACAAAGCAAAATCCTTTCTAAAAAATACAGAAAAAAAAAAAAAACAAAACAAGAATAAACTTGGAATGTATAGGCTACAAGGAGATATGAGAAAGGTTTCCAAGGCCTGGACTACATAGTGAGCTCCAAGCAAGCCTGAATTATAAAGTGAAACCTTGCCTCAAAAATAAATAAATAGAAAGACAGGCATGGTGGCGCACGCCTTTAATCCCAGCACTGGGGAGGCAGAGGCAGGCAGATCTCTGTGAGTTTGAGGCCAGCCTGATCTACATAGTGAGTTCCAGGACAGCTGGGGCTACAGGGAGACCCTGTCTCAAAAAGAGAAATAAACAATAATAACCCCCCAAATAGTCAGATGTAGTGGTACAGCCTTTTAATCCCAGAACTCAGGAGGCAGAGGCAGAGACAGGTGGAAAGCTCTGTGAGTGAGGCAAGCCTGGTCTACATAGCTGGGGCTACAAGACCCTGTCTCAAAAAAAGAAAAAAAAAAGACCAAAAACTAAATAAATAAATAGGTACTAGAGAGATGGCTCAGTAGTTAAGCAAGACAATTCTTCTTGCAAAGGACCTGAGTTTGGTTCCCAGCACCTATGTAAGGTGCCTCACAACCAACTACCTATAACTCTAGATCCAGGAGGTCTAATACCCTCTTCTGGAATCAAGGGCACCTGCATGCATGTACACATACCCAAACACAGACATACATGCATACATGTAATTTAAAAAATAAGAGGCAAGCCAGGCGTGGTGGTGCACACCTTTAATCCCAGCTCTCAGGAGGCAGAGGCAGGCAGATCTCTGTGAGTTTAAGGCCAGCCTGGTCTACATAGTGAGTTTCAGGCCAACTGGAGGTACAGGGAGACCCTGTCTCAAAAAAGACAAAATAATAATAATAATAATAATAGGATGGAGAGATGGCTCAGCAGTTAAGAGTACTGGATGTTCTTGCAGAGGCCCCAGGTTCGAGTACCAGCATCTACATGGTGGCTAACAACCATCCATAACTATAGTTCCAGGGGTATCTGATGCCCTCTTCTGACCTCCACAGGCATTGAACAGCATGGGTGCACTTACATACATGCAGGCAATATACTCATACACATAAAATAAAAAAAATAAAATATTTACATAAAAAATAATAGAGGATACGAGAAATGGCTCAACGATTAAGAGCATTTGATGTTCCAGAGGACCTGGGTTTGGTTCTCAAGACCCACATGGTGGCTCACAACTGCCTATACACATGTGGGCTGCATACATACAATCAAGAGAGATTAAGAGCACTTGGCTGCTCTTGCAAAGGACCCAGGTTCTGTTCGCAACACCCACATAGCAGCTAGCAACTATCTGTAACTCCAGTTCCAGGGAATCCAACACCTTCTTCTAGCCTCCACAGGCACTGTACATGCATAGTACACTTCATACATACAAGCAAAACACTCATAAAATAAAAATAAATAAAATGTTGGAACATAAAATGTTGGAATGAGTTTTACCTAATCTTGTAACCAAACATGTTTTGAGATCATTTAACACTATCTCTACTCCACATGCTTATAACATAAAACAAGCTTATGGAGCCTTGGGCACCTCTTGTAACCTAAACATATAGTTCATGATCCTTCCTTGCCTTGACCCATAACAATGTATAAGTGGGGGGGGTGTATATCAAGCTCTGTAAACAGTAAATATTCATAGAAGGCAATGTGATAATTTTCCCATTTGTGTTGCAAACAACAGGGATTAAATTGATAACAATTTGTGGTTGTGTGTGCTGTCCTATGGCAATATGGGTCAGAAGGAACATAATCCTCTGATAAGACATCTCCTCCTTTCCTTCCCCGTTTCATGCTGGATGTACAGTTTCAACAGAGAGAGAGTAAGGTCTTTGTTCAGGAGCAGGGTCATGGTTCTGAAGGAGCAGGTGCTCAGAGAAGCTTCAGTCCCCTCTTGGCTAAAATGGATGCTAAGAATCAGGCTATTTTTAGTCAAGCATTGCCATAATAAAAAAAAAAGAGGGGTACCAAATTTCTTTATTTAAGGAATGGTACAAATTAAAGAACTTAAGCAGATATTTGATGCAACTTATAGAAAAGGGCAAGGTAGCCCCGATCTGAGTGCACTGCCTTGGTGACCAGTGAAGTCACTTTGTGGCTTTGGGGAAGTCAGTTTAGTCTCCTTATCACTGTGGCCCAGGGTGTGCTTGTCAAAGAGATTTTGCCATGTCAGATTTGGGGCTCCCATCTTGTGCAAGTTGGTTATGTGATCATCCATCCAGTTCTTTGATGGATCTCACCTACTCATTCAGGCAGTGAGGTCACACGTGGGGATTATTTTTGTCAGTGGCCAGTTTGTGCAGTTCCAGTAGTGACTAATCCACAGTCTTTTCCAAGTGCAGTGCACACTCATTGGGTTCAGCCCGCTCTCCCAATCATCCCAGTCTGGTTTCTTGATGTCCTGTAGGTAGATTCAGCCACCTGGTTTGCTCTGCAGCTTCCTCATTTTCTCAGCATGTTCCCTCTCCTCATGAGATTGGTGAAAGAAGTATTTGGCAAAGTTCTCCAAAGCCGCATCATCACAGCTGAAGTAGCAGGACATGGGCAGATAGATGTAGGAGATGTAGGGCTCCAGGGTGATATAGCAGTTGATGGCAGCCTCTGAGTCCTGGTGGTAGTTCTGCCGCACCTGTGAGGGGGACACAGTAATCATGGCAGCAGGAGTGCTGGAGAGGAAGTATGAGGAGGTGGCTGTGGTCAGAGCAGATGGCTGGGATCCGAGGGGTCCAGCACCAGTTTGGTCAAGCACTGTTGAAGCAGGAAACCATGACAACTATTGGCAGAGAGCAGCTCAATTTTTCAATTTAATTTAATTTAATTTTTTTGTCTTTTTGAGACAGGGTCTCCCTGTAGCCCCCAGCTGGCCTGGAACTCGCTATGTAGACCAGACTGACCTTGAACACACAGAGATCTGCCTGCCTCTGCCTCTCGAGTGAGTGCTGGGACTAAAGGCCTGTGTCAACACGCCCAGTGAATGGCTCAATTTTTTAAAGTTTTTTTTTATGTGTATGCGTGTATTGCCTGCATGTAAGTAAGTGCACCCGTGTCATGCAATACCCACGGAGGTCAGAAGAGGCTGTCAGATCCCCTGGAACTGGAGTTATGGTCAGCTGTTAGCTGCCATGTGGGTTCAGGGATTCGAACCCGGGTCTTCTGCAAGAACCATCAGTGCTCTTAACTGCTGAGCCATCTCTCCAGCCCTAAAAGTATTTTTAATTAAATAAAAAATAAATCTTAGGGGCTGGAGAGATGGCTCAGTGGTTAAGAGCACTGACTGCTCTTGCAGAGGACTCGGTTCAATTCCCAGGACCCACACAGCAGCTATTAACTCCAGTTCCAGGGGAATCCGAAGCCCTCTGAAGCATTACATGACACAGGTGCACTCACATACATGCAGGCAATACACTCATACACATAAAATAACAATAATTTTTTTTAATTTATAAGAATAAATAAATCTTAATAAATAAATCTCTAAAAAATTTAAGTAAAAAGTTAAGATTGGGTGTGGTGGCAGAGGCAGGCAGTCTCTGTGAGATCAAGGTCAGCCTGGTCTATGTAGCGAGCTCCAGTCCAGCTCTGGCTACAGGGAGACCCTGTCTCAAAAAGACAAAAAAAAAAAAAAAAAAGTTGTGATCACCACCTGCAGCCGCTCCTCCATTCTCGTGGGTGCCGCTCCTTTGTTTTCATGGGCATCGAGACTGCTCCTCCACTCGCCCTGGGCTGAGGCTGTTCTTCTGCCTGCCCTAGGCTGAGGCTGTTCTTCTGCTCACCTGGTGCTGAAGCAGCTCTTTTGCTTGCCCTGTGCTGCCTCCTGTCATCAGTGCTTCTGCCCGGTCCCGGACTCCAGGGCTGGTGAGGAGACTGTGTCAGCCCAGCCGCATTCAGACACAGGAGACCAGGTTCAGTGACACAGATCTGCTTTATTGCAGGAAGGCACAAGCTTTTATAGGGGTAGTGGTCCAATCACAGCACAGCAAGTAGGATACCTTATTAGCATAACAGACTTAACGTCCTATCACAGAATAGAGGGTAGGATGCCTCATTAGCATACTGGGTTTCAGATTACAGAGCCAGAATTCCTGGACCCTGACAGTTGCAATATCACCCTAGACTCAAGCCTGTCTCCCACAAAAAGTAAAGCAGTATATTTTTTTTTATTGCCACACAGCATTCTATCCAATAGATAGAACAAAATTGATATTGACAATGCCAGACTTGATAATGCACACAATCTCAGCTCTTGAGAATCAGAAGCAGCAGATGTCTGTGACTTCAAGGCCTGCTTGGTCTACATAATGAATTCCAGGCCAGTCAGACTTCTTAGTGAGACCCTGTCTCAAATAAAATTATATTGACAAACACTAGAATTGAACCCAGTTTTTTGTTTTGTTTTGTTTTGTCTGTTTGAGACAGGGTCTCCCTGTAGCCCCAGCTGGCCTGGAACTCACTATGTAGACCAGGCTGGCCTTGAACTCAGAGATCTACCTGCTTCTGCCTCCCCCAAGTGCTGGGACTAAAGGCTTGTGCCACCATGCCTGGCTGAACCCAGTTTTTAATTAGACAAAGTGCCAATGAACATTCTTGTTCAAACTTTAAAGAAACATATGTTGTTTTGTGTTGTGTAGTGTTTTGAGACCCAGTCTCATGTAGCCCAGGCTGACCTCGACTTTCTGTGTACCAAGTATGACCTTAAACTCCAGATCCTCCTGCCTGCATCTCCCAAGTGCTGGCTTTCCAGGCATGTGCTACTGCACCCAGCTAATTGGCATATGTTTTTATTTCTCTCAGATAAATATTTGAAATAACTATGGGATAGATCATTGTTGGAGCAGTTGCTATAACTATCTATGTTTCAATTTTTTAAGAAACTGGCAAACTGTTTTCCAAAGTGACTGCACCATTTAACATTCCCACTGGGAGTGGAGGAGAATTCCAGATGCTCCATGTGTTTCCAACTTGGTATAAATACATTTTGAATAAATAAACAAGAGAATGGGAGTCCTGTCTCCTGGAAACAACTCACTGCTTCCCTGTGTGAGTGATTCAGACTCCTTTGAATTTGGAGTTACAAGGGAAGAGAGCAACATAGTCTGGGGTAACAAGGGTTAGAGTGGAAATTGTGACAATCTTAGATTTGGCTTAACCATGTAGATGTGTTAAAAATTAAAAATTTTAGAGCTGGGCATGATAGCACATGCTTTCAGTCCCAGCACTCAGGAGGCAGAGGCAGGCAGATCTCTGTGAGATTGAAGCCAAAAAAGATTTAGGGCCGGTATTGTGTCGCACACCTTTGGTCCCATCATCATTCAAGGGGCTGATGATCTCTATGAGTTCAAGGCAAGCCTGGTCTACAGGATGGGAGAACCCTTTCTCAAAAGAATTTTTTTAATTTATGGGGGTTGGAGAGATGGCCCAGCAGTTAAGAACACTGGTTGTTCTTGCAGAAGAGCCGGGTTCGAATCCCAGCACTCACATGGCAGCTAACAACTATCCGTAACCGTCTCCATTTCCAGGGGATCTGATAGCCACTTCTGTCCTCCGTGGGCAGTGCACGACATGGATGCACTTACCTACATGCAGGCAATACACACATACACATAAAATAAAAATAATAAATATTAAAAAAATTAAAAATTTAAATGCTGTGGCCAGCAAGATGGCTCAGAGGGTAAAGGCACTTGTTGGGTAAGCCTGGTGACCTGAATCTGATTCCTAGAAGCCATGTAAAGGTGGAAGGAAAGAACAGGGTCTCAATATATAGCCCTGATTGACCAGGAATTTGCTATATACACTAGGCTGGCTTAGAACTTAAAGATATCCGCCTACCTCTGCTTCCCAAGTACTGGGATGAAAAAAGGTGTTTTTAATTAAAAATTTTAACCAGAGCCGGGCATGGTGGTGCATGCAGACAGATCTCTGTGAGTTCAACGCCAGCCTGGTTTACACGGTGAGTTCCAGACCAGCTGGGCCTTCAAGGAGATCCTGTCTCAAAAAGACAAAAAAAAAAAAAAAAAAAAAAGTTTCAACCAGGGGGCTGGAAAAATGGTGTTGTTGGTAAGAGTTCTTGCTATACAGACATGGGGACCTGAGTTTAGACCCCAGCACTTAAGTAAAAAGGCTAGCCAAGAATACCCACCGTACTATGGGGGCTGGAGACAGAAAAATCCCTGGGGCTTGCTGGCCACAGGCTTAGCTCCAGGTTCAGTGAGAGACTCCACCTCAAGGGAATAAGGCAGAACCATAGAGCAGAAGACACAAACTCTGCTGGTCCCTCACACACATACAACACACACACACACACATTTTAAGTTGGGCATGGTGATAGCTACCTGTAATCCAAGCATTCAGAGGCTGAGACAGGAAGATCAGTTGAGCCCAGGAGTTTGGGTCCAATCTAGGCAACATAGTGAGACCCTGTTCCCACAATAAAGGGGGGTGGCCCTGAGCCTCATCCATCTTTAGAGAACTTATACAAAGTTAATGACTGATGGGGGAGGGAAAGAAATTTTCTTCCATGAAATAACCACTGGTAAAGTTCTGGGCTTCTATAAACAATCCCTCACCTGTCCTCACCTATGTTCCTGTAACCAATCTTAATGACACTCACTGAGTCATAAATAAATAAATAAATAAATAAATAAATAAATAAATAAATAAATAAATGAAATTGTCAGTTGGGAGGAAGAGCTGGTGAGGCAGATATGGGAGGAGTTGAAGTGGAGGGACCAGGGATTAGATTTGAGCAAAACAGATTGCAGGGCTGCAGAGATAGCTCAGAGGTCAGGAGCACTTGCTACTCTTCCAGAGTACCTGAGTTCACTCCCAGCACCCACACAATTTGGCTTACAATGGCCTGTAACTCCATCTCCAAGGGATCTGAAACAAATCTTCTGGCCTCCATAGGCACACACACACACACACACACACACACACACAAACCTAAAAACAAAATAACCTTTGGATACATATATGAAACTCTCCAATGAAAAGAAGACAGGAAAAGAAAAGGGCGTGGGAGGGGAACAAGAGAGGGAAAGCAAACCTGAATATGGGCAAAACATCATAGACGTGTAGAGATGTCATAATGAAATACATTGTGTATCTTTAATGTATGCTAATTAAAAACATTTAAAATTAATGGTTCTTGGTCTTGGATAAACCTGTGTCCCCCACAAAAGTCCCAGATGAACTGAATTTGAATTTCTGGTGTCATGGTCTAAACATGCCCTCTGGGACTCAGATAGCTTCAGCTTTGGCTGATGGAATTTTGGTAAAGCCCCAGGGAGGTGCTGCCCTGCCCTTCCTAGTCCAGCCAGAACCAAGGCTCTTCCAGGATGGGGGAGGGAACCCAGCTCCTCTAGCCAAGCCTGTCACTTGGCAGTATGGATTCCTCCATGTTATACCCAGCCTCAGCCCCATTCAAGACTTGGGGCTCTCCCTGATTGACAGGCAGCTTCTCCCTGACAGGCAGTTTCTCCCTGTTGTTCTATCTAACAGCCTCTTCCCTTCCTCCCACTTTTACTTCCCAGCAGCTGCTTAGAGTCACAGATTCCTGGCCTAATGCCCAGCTTGGACTGGGACTCATGGAAGTCTCTCCATATTTGCAGAATTACATCAAGGTATTCATGGGTTTTAACTCTGCTTTCTTCTACTTGATGGTTTTGTTTGTGCTGCTTCATGATGGACATTAAAAGGTACTTTCATATGCATTGACCAATGCCAAATGTTTTTATGGAATTGGATTCTTTAAAACATTTGTGGGGGGCTGGAGAGATGGTTCAGTGGTTAAGAGCACTGGCTGCTCTTGCAAAGGACCCAGGTTCCTTTCCCAGTACCCACATGGCAGCTAACACCTGTCCATAACTCCAGTTCTAGGGGACCCGACGCCCTCTTCTGACCTCTGTCGGCATTACACAACACAGGTGCACTTACATGCATGGAGGCAATACACTCATACATATAAAATAATAATAGATAAAATATTTTTAAATGTTTTATTTTATTCATTATTATTATTGGTATGTATATGTGTATGATGGGAGTGCAGGTATGCACATTTACCATGGCATGTGTGTGGGGGTCAGAGGACAACTTGATGGTGTTAGTTCTCTCCTTCCACCATGTGGGTCCCAAGGATGGAACCCAGTGCCTTTACCCACTAAGCCATCCCACTGGTCTCCTAAAGTACATAAATCTTTAGTGTATCCCTAACCCTAACTCTAACCCTTTAGTCCAATGAAAAATGTAAATAACAGCCTTATTGAGGTACACTTCACATACCATACAATTTCACCCATCTGAAGTATACCCTAGAAAGGATTTTGTAACTATTACTGCATTGAGTTCTTGAACATTTACATTATCCCCCAAAGAAACTGCACCCATCAGCGCTCATTCTATTTCCCCAGCCCACACCCTCCTTTTTTCCCTTGCCAGATTGGACTACCATCTACTTTCTGCTTCATGGATTTACCTGTTCTGGAATTTCCTACAAATAGAATCATACAATAAGTAAACAATTGCAGAAATAGCTTCTTCCTTCCATTGTGTGGGTCCCAGGGATTGAACTCAGGTTGTCAAGCTTATACAACAAGCACCTTTACTAGCTAAGCCACCTCCAGCTGGATGTTCTTTAAAATTCATTTGTGTGGGGGTCATTTATCAGTACAGCTGTCCCTCTGAATCCATGGGGATTGGTCCAAGACTATTCACAGATACCAAAAACCTGAGAACACTCAAGTCCATGTAAAATGGCATAGCCAGGGTTGGGGAGATGAATCAGCCAGTAAAATACTTGTTACACAAGCATGAGGACCTGAATTTGGATTCCCAGCACCCATGTAAAAAGTTCAGTGTGGCAGTGTGCACCTATAATCCTGGTGATGAGGAGGCAGAGAGGAGAGAATCCCTAGAGCTCATTGGCCCACCAGTCTAGCTGAATTGCTGGGTGTGGTGGTGCACGCCTTTAATCCCAGCACCTGGGAAGCAGAGGAAGGCAGATTTCTGTGAATTCAAGGCCAGCCTGGCCTACATAGCAAGTTCCAGAACAGCTAGGGGTACACAGTGAGACCCTGTCTCAAATAAAATAAAAAGTAAAATAAAATATTCATTCAATATTGTGTGGGTCTGACTGCATGTCATTTCCTTGTACACCTGAATATTTTTTTATTTATACTTATTTTGTTTTATTTATTCATGTTATGTGTATGCCCCCACAGAGGCCAGAAGAAGGCATTGGAGCCCCTGGAGCTGGCCATTGTGATCCACCCTTGGGTCCTGGGAACTCAACCAGGATCCTCTGCAAGACCAGCAGGTGCTCTTAACTGATAAGCCATCTCTCCAGCCTCTATTTTCATTTTTTTGGGAAACAGGATCTTAAAATGTAGCCCAAGCTGGCCTCAAACTCAAAGCAGTTTTCCTGCCTCAGCCTCCTAAACACTGAGATTTCAGGTGTGAGATACCACATTCAACCTGAATATTTTATTATATAGATCTATCATGTTTAGCTTATTAATCAAGTGGTGGCCTTTGGGTAAGTTGTGGGCTGATTCATATGCCTTCAAAATTCCTATGAAGTCCTGCTTAAAAATATCCATTTAGGAATCCTTCCTTCCTTCCTTCCTTCCTTCCTTCCTTCCTTCCTTCCTTCCTTCCTTCCTTCCTTCCTTCCTTCCTTCTTTATGGTGCTGAGGAGCACATGCTATGTAAGAATTCTACCACTAAACTACATTCCCAGTCCTTGTTTTGTTTTTTATAGTCACAAGAATATTCATCTATTACTGGAGACATACTTGAGAAACTACTGCTAGAAGCCAGTTTCCTAATAGAGGTGCCAGGCCCTGGAACGTTCTGTGGGTATATCCTTAGGCCCTGAAAATGCAGTGTTCACATTTTTCCAGTTCTGAGGCAGAGAACTAAAGACGATTATGAGAAGAAGGGTGTGTGTGTGTGTGTGTGTGTGTGTGTGTGTGTGTGTGTGCTGAGCTGGTAGGAGGAGGGGTTCGACTGACATTTGGGGATTCATACAAATTCATGAGGAGGACAGGGATTGGACCACAGTCCTCAGAGCATTCTGGGACCCTTTCCAGACTGTCTGGTTACTAGGCAGAGCTCCCAGGAGCTGAGGCTCCTTCCCTATCCCTGCCAGCTTCATCCATCAGCACTGGCACAGCCCCATCTAGTGTCTGTAGCAGAAGATGACTTAGAATCACCTGCATCTTAATCTGATTTTCTAGAAAACCCTCAATTGTTTCCCCCAGCTCTGTCTAAGAAAGTATATATCCCTGCCCAGCATGATGGTACACATCTGTAATCTCAGCCCTTAGGAGGTGGAGACAGGAGGATCAAGAGTTCAAGGCCAGCCTGGACTACAAGAGACCCTGTCTCAAACAAAACAAAACAACAAAACAAATATGTCCACACTTTCCAAAGGACCCTTCATGTTAAATCAATATTGTCAGAGGCTGGGGCAGGGCTCAGCTGGTAAAAAGCTGTGTATGTGTGTGTGTCTAAGCATCTTGTAAGCACAAGGACCTGAGTTTGATCCCCAGAATCCAACTTAAAAATTCCAGGCTTAGTGGCATGTGCTTATGATCCCAGAGATAGGAGGGTTCCTGGGCTCATTGGCCAACAGCCTAGCCTACCTAGTAGCTCCAGGCCAATGAAAGATTCTATCTTAAAGGAAGTGAACAGAATTCCTGAGGATGACACCCAAAGTTGTCCATCATCATCTACCCCCACACATGTGCACTTGCATATACACAAGCACACACACACACACACACACACACACACACACACACACACATACAGTTTTTTTCTTTTTAAATTTTATTTACTATTTATTCATTTTTAATTAAAAAAATTTGGTGTTTTGAGACAGGGTCCCTCCTATAACTGCAGCTGGCCTGGAACTCACTATGTAGACCAGGCTGGCCTCAATCTCACAGAGATCCACCTATCTCTGCCTCCCTAGGGCTGAAATTAAAGATGTATGCCCCCATGACCAGGTAATTTATTTATTTTTAATTTATTTATATTTTACGTGTATGAATGTTTGCCACTCAGGTGCACCAAGTGTGTGCAATGCCCTTGGAGGCTAGATCTCCTGAAACTAGAGTTACAGACAGTTGTTAGCCACTATGTGGATGCTAGAAACTGAACCTAGATCTTCTGCAAGAGCAGCCACTGCTCTTAACTGCTGAGCCATCTCTCCAGCCCCACAAACAGTTTTTAAAAAATCAGTAATCTTGCCAGGTGTGGTGGCACACACGTTTAGTCCCAGCACTCTGGAGGCAGGCAGAGACAGGAAGATCTCTTGTGAGTTCAAGGCCAGCTGGGGCTACAGGGAGACCCTGTCTCAAAAAAAAAAAAAAAAAGGGTAATCTTAGAGGAGGTTTGGAAGGATGGGTAAAACAGGCAAGGGTGGGGGTGGGTTAAAATTCAGACTCCTTGGGGTTGGGGATTTAGCTCAGTGGTACAGCGCTTGCCTACCAAACGCAAGGCCCTGGATTCCGTCCTCAGCTCCAAAAACAGCAACAACAACAACAACAACAAAAAGACAAAATAACAAAAAGTTCAGACTCCTAGGCTCACACTATAAGTACTACAGATTTCTGGTGCATCCCTGCCCTCCCAAGTTCTTTATTGTGTTCATTGAAGGTGGAGCACACCTTGACCTAAATGATCAGTTACAGGAAAATGAGTAACAGACACCTTCATGAGACTTCAAATCCTACCAGACTGAACAACTTACAGGTCTAAGGCAGCCATCTTCCTGCTAGGTCTTCCTAAACACACAGTTTCTTTGAGCTATAACCTCTCTGGCTTCCCACCCAGGCTTGGCTTGAGTTCACATACTCTAAGAAGACTTTGCTGAACTGTAGATGACGTGTTCTTCCTCTGGACCTTCCTGCCACCTGAGCACTTAGACTGCCTAGAAGGCTGGTCTGGCATCTTTTTCACAGATATGTCATGGATACCAAGGATATTGTGTACACCCCGTAGACACACAATAAATGTTCAATAAAAGTCTCTGCTATGATGACTGCTTTCTTATGTCCTCTTCAGAAATCTTTGCTTACACCAAGTTTACAAAGATAGACTGCTTATTTCAATATATGGGTCTCTAACACTCCCATACCCCCTTTTTTGGCTATCCTAAGAGTCAAACCCAGGGCTTTGTGTACTCCAGGCACTCTCTGCCACTTAACTGCACTCCAGCCCTCTTTGTTTCGTTTGTGAAGAGATATCCTGGGGCTAGAGAGATAACTCAGCTGTTAAGAGTGCTTGCTGCACAATCATGAGGACCAGAGTTCTGATCCCAGCACCTATGTAACAAGGGCAAGTCCCATCAAGCAAACACCTGTAACCCCAGCTGGAAACAAGACAGAGATGGGAGGATCCTTGGAAGTTATAGCTTCAAATCTAGCCAAGAAGGTGGAGTCCAAGGTTCAAGGAGAGACCCTGCCTCAGAGGAATGGGCAGACAGTGAGAGACGAGGACACCCCATGCCTGCTTCTGACCTTTACGTGTCTCCACAAGTGTGTGTACCCCCTGACACACACACACTTGCACATAAACACCTAAATAAAATAAAATAAATCATTTTTTGGTATTTTTGAGACAGGGTCTCCCTGTAGCCCCAGCTGTCCTAGACCTCACTATGTAGACCAGGCTGGCCTTGAACTCACAGAGATATGCCTGTCTCTGCCTCCCAAGTGCTGGGATTAAAGGCGTACGCCACCACACCCAGCTAAAATAAATCTTTTGAAAGTATTTAAGGGGCCGAGTGACCCGAGTGCTGGGATGATGGGGGTTAGCTACTGAACCCAATTTGTACCGTGCTACAGATCTAAACTAGGGCTTCCTCATGCTGGTTTAAGAAACATTAAAAATCAGTCTTTTTTCCAAACTCTATAAAACTTGAAACTTGGTTTATAACAAGGAATTCTAATCTTTTAATCACACCATACCCTGTAAGACTTTTGTTTAAGGAAAGGTCCTGATACATTTCTGAACCTGATGGCCTAGAGTAGTGGAGTTCTTCCCCCTTCATGCCAGTTCTTTTAAACTAGTCAACCAAGAAAGACTATGAGGTCAGACGACAGTCAATGGGGAAAAGACACAATCCTCTTGCGTTAGGGATAAAAGCCTCCAAAGCTTCTGGGTCCTGTGTGTACTTGCTGGACCTTATTGACCACACAATCCACCCTTTTGCAAAATCTGGTTTGCTGAGTTGCTTTCACTTTGTCTTTGTCCGAGTCCTTTGCATGTATTGATGGGGTCTTTGTATCTCGAATTTTATTTCTAACACTAGATAAGTACTCTACCAACTGAGCCATATCCAGAGCCTGTTTCTGCTAATCTATTTATCCTTATGCCACACAACTGGAAGACTGCAACTTGATGGTAAATCTTTTCTTTTTAAAAATATTTAGTTATTTATATTATTATTATTATTATTATTATTATTATTTGTGTATGAGTGTATTGCTTGCATGTATGTAAGTCCACCCATGTTGTGCAATGCCATGGAGGTCAGAAGAGGACATTAGATACCCTGGAACTGGAGTTATGGATAGTTGCTAGCTGCTATGTGAGTACTGGGAATTGAACTTGGGTCCTCTGCAAGTGCTCTTAACTGCAGAGTCATGTCTTCAGCTCCAAATCTTTTCTTTTTTAATTTAATTTAAACTTTTTTTTGTTTGTTTTGAGACAGGGTCTCCCTGTAGCCCTATCTGACCTGGAACTCACTGTGTAGACCAGGCTGGCCTTGAACTCACAGAGATCCACCTGCCCCTGCCTTCCAAGTGCTGGAATTAAAAGCGTGTGCCACCACACCTGGCCTGAAATTTTTTATTTTTATATGTGTGTTATGTGTGTAGAGGCCAGAAGAAGAAGGAACTGGCTCCCCTGGAGCTACAGTTATAGGCAGTTATGAGCTGTATAACAAAGGTGCTGGGAATCAAACCCTAGTCCACTTGAAGAGCAGCAAGTGTTCTTCAACTACTAAGTTATCTCTCCAGCCCTGCATGTGGAAATTTAGAGTACAACAAAGATGGCATTGTGTGCTTTATGAAAATGTGTAAGTAAATATGTACATAAGTAAAACATTCAAGTTTTGGAAAAGATCAAATAAAACTAGAATTCTACTTCTTTATTTATTAAATTCTAAATGGATCCAAAATTTGCAAATTAAAGATGAAACCAGAGGGATGGGAGAGATGGCTCAATGAGTAAAGGAGATTGCTACCGAATGTGATGACCTGTTTATGATCCATGGAGCCCAAGGGTAGAAGGAGAGAACCAATTCCACAGTGCTATTCTCTGATCTCCACACAAGTGCCATTGTATGTGTGCCTCCACCCCATCACACATGCTCACACAAAATAAGAAAATAAAATGTAAAAACCGTTCTTAAAAAGAAAAACTAGGGGTTGGAGAAATGGCTCAGCGGTTAAGAACACTAATTGTTCTTGCAGAGGACCTGGGTTCGATTCCCAGCACCCACATGGCAGCTGCGAACCGTCCTTAACTCCAGTTCCAGGGGATCCGAAGCCCTCTTCTGACCTCCATGGCACTGCATGATACAGGTGCACTCACATGCAGGCAATACACTCATACACATAAAATAAAAATAAATAAACTATTTAAAATAAAAATAATTAAAAAAAAAAAAAAAAAGAAAACTAAGGCTGGAGGAATGGCTTAGTGGTTAAGAGTACTTACTGCTCTTCTGGAGGACCTGGGTTTAGTTCCCATCACCCGCATGACAGCTAACAACTATCTGTAACTTCAGTTCCAGGGGATCTGATGCTCTCTTCTGGCCTCCCTGATCGTTGCACACTCGTGGTGCACTAATATACACGCTAGTAAAACACTCATACACATAAAAATAAATAATTTTTTTAAAGTTTTTGAAAAAACAAAAACAAAGAAGCCATAAGGGCTGAGAAGACGATTCTGCTGGTAAAGTGCCTGCTTCACAAGCATGCTGACTTGAGTTTAGATTTTCAGAACCTATGCAAAAAGCTGTGGCTGCTGTGCACACCTGAAGTCCCAGGGATGCAAGATCAGAGGTGGAAACTCCAAGGCTACCCCACCCAGTCTAGTGAAGAAATTCTAGACTTTGTCTCAAAACATGGAATTTACAGGAGGACTGACACTTGAGGTGTCCTACGACTTCCACATGAGTACTTGTGCACAGACAAAATTAATTAACTAATTAATTTAAAAATCAAACTATAAGCTGGGTATAGAGTGAGGCCACCTGCGATTCCAGCACTTGAAAAGTGGACAATTCAAGACCAGTCACGGGCTACATTGTAAGTTCAAGATCAAGATGAGTTACAAGAGAAACTGTCTCAAACAAAACAGAACAAAAAACAATCTCAGAGCTGAAGAGATGACTCAGTGGTTAAGACCCTGGGTTGGAATCCCAGCACCCACATGGCAGCTAACAACCATCTGTAACTCCAGTTCCACGGGATTTGACACCCTCTTCTGACCTCTGTGGGCATTGCACGAAACTGGTGCACATATATTGCAGGCAATATACTCATACACATAACAAAGAAAAATAATATATGAAATGGTTTTTTAAAACTTTTTAAAAAACAACTCCAGAAGCAACAAAAGAAACCATAAAAATAGGAGAATAAATAGATTTTTAAAGTGATAAAGCAGCCAGGCATGATGGTTCACACATGTAAGTCTCATTCTGGAGCAGAGGCCAAAGGACTGCAAGTTTGAAGCCAGACTGGACTCTGTAGGAAGACTTTTTCTGGGGAGGGAGGAGGGAGGCCAGACGAGAGGAGCAAGAGTAGAGATAAATGAATATTGGGGGCCTAGGAAACCCAGAGGGAAATGAAATGCCCCCAAAACCCCATGAGAAATGCCCATACAGTACCTAAACGTTAGTGCCTATGTATAAGTGGGAACTGCTTGGCAAGGAACACAGCGCTACACAGAAGAGACTGCCCTTTGAATGGCTGGCGAGGTTGGTCCCAAAGACTCCCAAAATAACACAGACTACTGCCAAACTTCTTGGTTATCTCCCAGAACTAGTAGATAAGACCCTACTACTGAAGACAGGACATGCATCGGATACAGGACTTAGAGCAATAGAGTGGGAACTGATCTGGAGGCCTTCTACTCGAACTTTAGCTATCATAATGCTAGAAGATAAAATGCAAACTGTCAAGGGAGAAAAACAATCAATATTCTAATCCAGCTCTAAACCCTAATAACCATAATGACAGAATGACAAACTACCTCTATCTGTGCAGTAGTAGTGCTGTTATCTGGGGGGCAATCAACAGCTATCTAATTGGACTTAAACACCTCTCAATGGGAGTGAACTCATGAGTGGCACTGTAAACGCAGCCAAATATACATGGCAGGAGAGAACATAGATTCTAGAGAAAACCCTATCTCTTTCATATCTTTAGAAAAATGGAATTTCTTGCCATATGCTAAATATGGACCCTTATGTTTACAGACCCTTATATTTACTGTATACCACTCATCAACAAAGCTCCTTTTTGCAACAGATGGAAACCACTACAGAATTCCACAACTGCTCAGACACAGACAATATATATCTGAGAGATGCTAAGTACTACGTGATACATCTACAGTTGAACCTCTACGCCTAAGGTTCATGGAACATAGCAGAACAAGGGGTGGAGAGAAAACTAATGCATCTCTCAACTCTCACCAGTAAAGCTTCCTTATACAACAGAGTACTATGCACACAGAAGTCCACAACTGGCCAAGTTTTAAAGAAAAAGAGACTGCAGAGTGGTAACCTTGGATGAGACTTCTATATTGAACCTCACCCATCCACAGCTCAGGGACCATTGCAGAAGAGGGGGTAGAAAGATTGTAAGAGCGAGAGCTGGTTCCTGAACACGGGGAAGCACAGGCTTCCAGGCTACTGGAAGCCTGCACATGTGAACTTGTGGCAATGGTGGCATTGAGCACAGGACCCACGCCAACTCAATTAAACAAGAGCCCAGAGGGGAGTAAAGAAATGGGTGT